CCCGACTACCAGTGTTCAGCGATTTTACCGCTCGGCCACCGGTGGGCGCGATATTATGGTAAACAAGATTATCCATTTCTCTGTTTTCTGATGAGGCTCAAGAAGTTTTAGAATTAAATCAGCCATAGACATATAACTGATAGTTTAGCAGATGTAGTGCTCGAAAGAATATCAACCAATTTGGATTTTATTATTATTTTCACTTTTCAATACATATATCCTTATAGCAAGCAGAAGCATTTCATATCTACATTCAAGCTCCACTGCTATTATGCATTGCAATAATAATATCTAAGCGCAAATGGGAAGTTTGGAAAATGATTAAAATTCAAAATTCGAATTATGGATTTTAATGAATTCGCTGCCCTTGTCCACTGCCTTATAGTTGAAAAGTCGAGCCATCTAAGTCACCACGCGATTTACATTTCTACCACCACGATTTTACATATAAACCATAGATATGTGGAATTGTGTTAGGACAATTAAGGACTAAGGGAAATGCTTGCAGCATATACGCATGAGAATCTTATTTCACACACACACAACACACAAAAGCAGCGTTTGATAACTTCTGATAACTTAGGGATTCCGCCAGCGCAAGGCTTCGGTTCAGGCGCGATGCGATGCCGACGCTCTCTTGGGTACCCGCGATGACTTTCGCTATCTCAGTATAATAACAATTGAAGATTTTCGAACATGTTTGAGTTCATAATTCACTTAGTGATCGGTGAAGTCCATATAACATGGAAGAAGGGAATTTTAGCATGTCGAGGTAAATTTTCTGACATTGCCCCATTCAACACAGCAGAAGAATGTTATGTGCAATTTTTCGTCCTGCAAAGTTTTCCAAGTTATATTCAGCTTCCAGTTGCAAGATTTATCTTAATTTATAGGGTCTTAATTACTTGATGTTAACTCTACGTCCTTTAGAGCCTATTAGATTGCCAAGCAAATTATCGTTATACCTGAAATAGTATAACGAAGAGTTATGAAGGTTTTAAACAACCTTTTTGTTTAAGCTTGAATTGAATAAAAAGCAAAACTTAAGCACAACATTCAAAATCCTGCTTCTTGCGGATATTTACAAAAACATTAATGAATTTACAATTTAAGGTATCGTAGTTGGAGGCTACACAAATTTGGCCTAACCAAGCTGGCTCAAAACATTATAGTGCATTTTAATATTGGCTAGCAAATGCCTAAAGTAAATGTCTAGACTGGTAGAGCTGGGTTGTAGAAAATAAAGTTACAAGCGCTGCTGCAGAAACTGTATCAAAAACATTCAAAACTCCCTTGTCTTAAATACTCTTTAACTTCATTTGCATCCTAGTGAGGGCTAAAGGAAAGGAGAAATAATACAGTAAACGCGATTTAATGTTATAGCTAGTAATGCTATCATTTGGATATAGTTATGGAACAGCTGAAGAACCGCCCACTTGGATAAGAAAACATGCAAAATAAATCTCTTATTGTGATCAAGACTTCGGCTATAAATATTATAGAATAAATTTTTTAAACTGACTTAAATTTTTACCAAATAAGACCTAAATAGACTATAAAAATTGCCATATGACAGTGAATTGTATCCAAGTTAGAGATTAAGTCGCCAAACAACTTGGTTTCGAATTTAGTCAATTATTTAAAATTAGGCAAAAAGACAGCCTTAAATTGACTTAGATTTTGAATTACTCTAACGATTTTAAGGGTGATAAGACACAAAACCCTTTTTATCAGGAGCAAAAATATTTCCGCGGAATCGTTTTTTTTGGGCCTGGGGGAAAAGAAATCTGCGCCAGATTACGGGTGCTTTTTTATACCTAATTTTAAAATTTACATTGGCGTGTTCTCTTCCAGTCTGAATGTCAACCATGCACAAAGGAACCCGTTTTTCAAGTTTCTCAGCTATCTGCTGAACTCACCAGTTTAATGAAGAAGGAAATTTATATAACCTTTGCTTTTATGCGCCAAAAGTATCTATGCTGAGTTTTAAGCTTTGCACTTTGATATACGTTCTGCTCAAGGGAGGGCACATCTTTTATTCTATGTAGTAACCTTTAGTTATTTTTATCATTTGTAGTTACTTTTAATCTCTTTTGATCACTTTAAGATTCTGGAGACTAGTAAAAGGGATGATATTCTCCAACTAAGGGATAAACTTGATTCGGTAGACAGGTATGACCTCCTCCCAAAAATCAGTCAACGGCTTACTGCTCTCAATTGGCTCATATTTGAGCAAAAGAAGTTATTTTTCGGAATAATTTCATGTATATATTAGAATAACACTATAATAGATAATGGTTAAAAGAGTTACATGCTTACATTTACCAACATGACAATCTGAAAGAATTATGGGCCGCGGACTTAAGAAGTGTTATAGGAACTTCTAATTTCTATGGTATGAAATAACTTAAAATTGAAAACTGACTTTACTACTTAACATATAACAACAGAGGTTATCTAATCGCCTCTTGCTGGTGGCTAATTGTTTAATACAATACATAATCTGAAACTTAAATCCAACAGATATTTATTAACCACGCCTAGCGGTTTTATTACTTAAAATAATAATACAAATTAAAACGATTGCTTCTTTTTAAATAAAACTGCAAAATGAGGCGAATTGCCTAGGTTAAAAAATTTCGATTTATTGCAAAAATATCCTTAATTTTAAAACTACAACAGTTGAGCCGGATCTGCTGTACCTAAAAGGCCTTAAAAACTACTTACCAAGCACAGCCTTTAACTCTCGTATTAGCTTCTTGATTACTGTAGGAAAGCTTGCTCAGACAACACGGCAGTGATGCAGTTTAAACTCCAATAGGCTTATAGTCCAGATTAGCCTTTTGCATTTAAATTAAGCCGTTTGGCATTCATTTTTCAAAATGTTCTGCTCTAAACAAGTATTGTGACGAGCCAAGAAGACTACGATAGAATTTAACCTAAAACTCATAATCATTATAGGTGGCCAGTTAGCCCATTTGTGGGTAATTTTTTTTGAGGATCTATCCACGATGACTCTTTAATTATATTCGATCACCATTTTCTCTCATTAATTGTTTCCAAATCTAACTGCACTGAATCAGTATATGTCAGCCGCTGTCTTCCCCTCTTTAGGGTTTCAGTGGGTTTTAAAAGCAATACTTTTTTACAACATTGCTATTTCGAATTCGGATCACGTATACCATTAATTTATGCCGCTAGTTTTTATAACTATGTCTATATATCTTGTAAAGCCCAAAACTGTATCTCCTCCTCTAAATATTATTTTCATTAATATCAAACGTATACCTTAGAATTTTTCTTTGAAAAGTTGCTATGTGATTTTCCTCTAGCTTTGTGCTTGCCCAAGTCTCAGAAGCAGATATCGAAACATACCTGGAAAGCCTTTTGCCCCCCCCCAAAAAAAAAAAACTTCTTTTTTTGTTGAAAGAAATCTAGATCTGAAAAATTTCTTAATCCATAGAAAGTCTTACTTGCCAGATATAGCCGATTCTGGATTTGTGGAGATAATCTGTAATCAGTAGTAAAAATATATATAATCTGTTATCAGTAGTAAATATACAGTATTAATAGTTATCAGTAGGTGACAGGTGACAGGTGACGGAAGACGGGGACGCCTGGTGTTTAACAGTGGTAAACAGGCATATGTCCCACGCCTTCCCCTGTGTAGAAGCAGCAACTTTAAATTAATAAAAGTATTTACAGTGCAACAAGAGCAGATGAGTGATTGTGTTACATTGCAGTTCAGGTTACATTAGCATGTCATAAATAGTCAAGTGCAAGACATAAAGAGAAAGGGTCTTAAATTAAAAAAAAAAAAAAAAAAAAAAAACACGTTAATCACATAAACATAAGGCGTAATTATATGCCAATACTCTTCACTCAATACATAAACTTAAGCATATTGCCAATGCATGATAGTGTTGTATATTGGGAATACTGAGGTATCTAGAGATTCTATACTTACTACAGGGTGTACAGACAGTGAACAAAAGCTTAGTAAAAACATGATACTTGATAAAATACAGGACAAAATACATGATACAATACATGAGACACGGAATACATTGATAAAATACATGAAACATGATGCAACTTTAGAAATAGTACACAACACTAAAAATGTGATATACAGAGCGGAATACGTATACAAAGGTATTAACAGAATACAAAACAGAAGATAGTGCATTAAAGATTTATGTACAATGGATATATACACAGAATACCCACACAGGTGACAGGTGACGGAGGACGGGGACGCCTGGCGTCTAACAGAGGTAACAGGCATATGTCCCACACCCTCCCCTATCCAGACACAACAACTACACATTACACATTAATATGATACATAATTAAGCACACACATTTGAAATACATGACAAATAAATATACATAGAGAGAAAACACAGTTCAACACAAAATATACAAAACATAACAGTACAATGATACAAAGTACACACACAATACGACATTAAACAGCATAAAACATATATAAACATTACGTTAAACACACACATTGCATTAAACACATAAAACATATAAGGTGCACAGTTATAGTGGCAGTTCAGTATAGTTTCAGGGAAAGTACTTTACAGTGGCAGTACTAGGCACATTGCGCAGAATGTACGCAATACCCACAAGTGAAACACTAGCGGTATACAGCATGCAGTATGTGTTGTTGCACAGTTTGTTAAGGCAGAATGCAGTCACTGAGACCATTATGAATAGCACTGTTTTATAATGGGAGGCAAAGGTCTTGGCCGTAGGCCTTAATGGTGTTAACGATTTTGCACACTGTGTTGATTGCCGCTTTATTTTTAAGGATAAACTTGTGGAAGGCAGGTATGTTCGTGGGTTCCGGGAAATGGTGCTGTTCTGTGAGTGGGCACCGGAAGATATAGTGATCGGGTGTCCCCTCTTCCCCGCATACACAGCGATCCGTATTAGAAATAGTGCGTCTGTTGAAGTAGTCCGGGAAGGGACCGTGCCCAGTTACAAAGTTAGTAAGTGGAGCGTTTGCTATGAGTCTCTCCGTTGTCACCATCGGTAGAAAGCCAACCATACACTCTTCTTCCTGTGTTTCCATGTTCCCATACTCTTTGCCACCACTGGACTGCTGCGCCTTTCAGCAGTCTTTTAAGATGGGAAGGTGGCGCCGGAACAGCGATGGGACGTGCGTTGATGTTTGAGGCTGCCTCTTTGGCGAGCACGTCCGCTGCCTCATTACCTGCATTGCCTTCGTGAGCTTTCACCCATGTCATGTCCACGTGTACCTGTGGGTTATCTTTTAAGAGTTTTTGAAGGCGGATGATCAACGGGGAAACATGGTTGTGTTTGCTTAGGGCCAGCAAGGCAGACATACTATCCGTATAGAGATAAGCTTTTGAGATTTTTCGGCTTATTAGATATTCAACAGCAGCTGTAATTGCTATCACTTCTGCCTGAAAGACGCTATTGCTGTCACCTAGGTGGCCTTTCCAATGATGTAATTCTTGGCTTTGCCAACAGTGCAGGAAAGCACTGCCAACGCCTTCAGCATGTTTAGAACCATCAGTGTAAAGTGTATGGTTGCTGATGTGCTGTATTTCCTTGTTGGGCTGTTGCATGATGTGGGTGTGGACCCCTAGTCCTTTATGCGCTGGATGTGTGTGCAGCGGTGTCTTGGGGTGCTCATAAAGTGCTGGACTGTAGAGAGTACCTGCGAAGGAGGCGTCTTTCCTCAAGTGAAGGACTCTCGTATATGTCGCCTCTAGCTCGGCCTGGATGTGTAGAGGGACTATACCTGCTAGAGTAAGGGCGGAGCTCGTGGCTGTTGTGCAGTATGCCCTGCAGATGCTTATGACAAAAGGGCGTTGGAGTGATGTTAACTGCTTGATTTTCCTCGTTGTCATCGGTTGAGCCCAGATTGCAGCTGCGTACAGCGCAATCTTTTCCACCACCGTGCTATAAAGCACTTTTTGAATGTGGGGATTTAGTCCCCAATTCCTTCCTTGAAATTTCCGTGTCATTCTGGCTATAGCGGAGGTTTTTGCTCTCTGTTGCTGCAAATGTGGCACCCATGTTAAGCCAGAGTCCCAGACCACTCCTAGATACTTCTGTGTATCCATGAATTTAATGTTGCGGCCAAGTAATCGGATACAGGGACGACGTACAGGCCTCGTGCCCGGTCTTGGGATGAGGAGTGCAGAAGACTTGGTGATAGAAATCCTCAGCTTAAGGTCTTCGCATAGGCTTGCGAACTTGGCGCACGCTTCGCTGCCATTGGCTTCAATTTCGTCTCGTGTGCGACCTTTAACAAGGAGAGCCGCGTCATCAGCATATGCAATGATAGTTGTGTGATCAGGCCACGTCGCTTCGAGGATTTTGTTAAATGTCAGGTTCCAGAGCAAGGGCCCTGCACAGGACCCTTGTGGGCAGCCTCTGACTTGGGTCTTAGTAACAATGCCATTATTGTTTGCCATAAGTAATTGCCTATCTGTGTGAGATAACTCTCAAAGACTTGGTAGATGTTCTCCGGGCATTGCGCCTCTCTGAGGGCCTGCTTGATGGCGGGCCACCAAAGGGTGTCGAAAGCGCTCTGGAGGTCTATTGAGATGAATGCAGTCTGAAGATTCTGTGAGCGATTAAGCTGGACTTCATCATATATTCGTTGAAGGGCATGTGTGGTTGAGCAACCTGAACGGAAGCCATATTGCTTGGGACTGAGGAAGTTGTTTTTGTGAATATGATACTTCAGCCTGTTAACTATGATCTTTTCATAGATCTTACCCAACGCTGAAAGGAGACAGATCGGACGAAAGGAGCAGGGGTCTATTGGGTTCTTATCTTTTTTGAGAAAAAGTACCACGTGTCCCTTCTTGAAAGCTTGTGGAAATACTCTGTGGTGCAGGAGTTTATTGAAGTAGAGGCGAAAGAAGGTGGGCCGTGCTCGGAAGGCGACCTTTAAGATTGCATAATCAAGTCCGTCCGGACCCGGTGCCTTCTTCAGTGGTAGATGGCGGAAGATGTGAGTGATTTCCTGCATTGTAATGGGGACATCTTCTGGCGTTCTTGGGATCTCTGTGGAGTTTCTCAAAAGTCGCTGGGCCGTCGTGTCATCCTGTTCTGGATCCGCTGGGAAGATTGCATCAAGCAGTGCTGTGGCCGTGGACCCTGCTAAGTCAATTGTTTGTGGTAGATTCCCTGGCTGCACTGGCACTTGTGCCGGCTGGAAGATTTTCTGCGTGGCCAGTTTATGCAGGATTCCGTAAGGATTGCTATTGCTGGTACAAAAATTGCGCCAGCTGTTGATTTTGGCTTCTAGAATTGCTTTTTTATAAGTAGCCCGTGCTTGTCGGAATGCAGTTAGCAACCTTTCCGTTTCTGTGCCGTCTACAGCCGTTCGGAGACGGCGACGTAATGCTCTGCACCTTTGGCGCATTTGTCTCAGCTGCCTAGTCCACCACGTAATGCCTTGCAGTTTCTTGGCAGTCCTGATTGGTAGAATTCGCTCGCATGTGTCCTTGAGAGTGGTGAGAAGATTATCTGTGTAGATATTCATATCATACTGGTCATTATGCGTATTAAGCTCCATCTCTTCTCTTCTGAGAGTTTCGCTGAGAATGCGATGCAGATGCCTAATCTTGCCACCCGGAAGCTTAAACCTTTTTAAAATGCTAATGCTGGTGTCTACTTGAATGAGGAAATGGATGTACTTATGATCGGAATTGCTTTCATCATCCATGACAGTCCAAGAGTAAATATTGTTGACAATGTCCGATGTTGAAAGGGTCAAGTCGGGCCAGCCTTTATGATACGAGTTGTCAAATGTCGGCTGTGCACCGGGGCTGTTATGCAAATGCAGGTTATTGCTCGCCATGAAGTTTTCCATTTCGTGGCCCTTAGGAGTCGTGTCACGGTAGCCCCAAATGACGTTGTGGGCGTTGAAGTCGCCTCCAATGATGTGTGGTACCGTAGGACATTTCAGTCTAACGTGATTGTATGCTGTAGTTGCGTCAGTGAGGTCATCGCTGGGGGAGGAATAAACGGAGCTTAGTATGAACTGTTGATTGTTAAAGATAACTAGTACGGAGACGAAATCTCGTTCCATTGAAACCAGGAAAGGTGTCCAGGTAGGGTTACAGCAGGCAATGGCTGCTCTGGGTGCCTGCTCTGCTGTGGATTTCCTTTGGAAGATCTTCCATGCCAGGGGAAAACTTGCCACCTGGCCTTCACGGCAGTATGGTTCCTGGATTAGAAGAAAGTCTAAATTATGATGTATTGCATGTTGTATGGCTTGGGTTGAGGCAGCTTCTGCTCTCTGCAAATTAATTTGAGCGCATCGTATGGGTGTCTGGTGCTGGGTGGTTTCCACTTTTGTTTCTGGTCGATCTTCAGTGGGTGTATTTTTCGTTTTGTGTGGCGTCCATCCAGGCTGGTGCGGAGGTACTTGGTCGTTGTGCGTTATTCGTAGATTGTGCTTCGTCGGATTCGCTCAACATACCGTGCATAGGTTGGGCATCGGATGTCGTATGCTGGATGGTTGCAGGGCATTGTACTATGTGTTCGGAAATTTGTATCTGCGCAGTTGATACAGGTGGGCTGGCATGCGTGGCAGTCCTTGATGCTGTGGTTGCCCGAACAGAAGGCGCAGTAGATTTTATTCGTGCAGCCTTGTTGAGTATGACCGAACTCTTGGCATCGGAAACATCTCTTGGTATTGAAGTGTTCCGCGATGCGGTGTCTTTGCCAACCAATGAACAATTTGGGCCATTGGAGGAGACTTCGGTAAGCTGCTGGCTGGCACTCCACGATCCATTTAACAGTATTTTCTCTGTCTTTGAGACGGTAGAGGATCTTTGCTGATGCTTTGGATAGATGGAACTCGGAGCTGAGCGCTTTTTCCAATTCTTCTGGCTGGACATCAGGTGACACACTGTGTATGGCCACTCTCGGTAATCTGGTCTGTGGTTGTCTGGTCTTGACCAGATCTTGCCCCTGTTTACTCTGTAGGGTGTTGACTAATTTCGTTGCGTCCTCTTTGGTTACGCAGTCTACCGCTAATCCTCCCTTCTGCAGGTTCCGGATGGTGCTAATTTTGACTCCCAGCTTTTGTAGTGGAAATTTCTCGTTGAGGACTGTTTTCAGGTCTTTGCTAGGGGTTGCTGTATTCTCTGTTGGATAAATGAGAATAGTATGCTTCAGCTTCGGGGCGGCAACTTGTGCGTAAGATTTAACGCGTGTGCTGTTGGAAGCTGCCGTCTGTATGGTGATCGGTGCTGTGAGAACTTCTTCCTCAGTGTTCACACCTATTTCAGTAGTAGGCCGAGGGTTATCGCTGTCTGGACCCTGTAGGGCCAGCTCTCTGAGTGCTTCTATTATAAATCTTATTTGGTCTCGTAAGTCAGCTGGAAGTACTGCTCGTTTGCCGCACTTTGTTTTGCTGATGCGCAGAGCCTCGTCTGCAAATGAATGAATCTTCTCCGAGTAGCTTAGAGTGTCTCTCTGGGCTGGATTTGTAAGGTCGAGGTCCCTTGCTAAAATGGAGTTGTCACTTTCTTGCATATTTCATCAATTGCTTAGTTGCAGGAGAAAGTAAATTATAATCACTTTGTCGCTGAGAACACTGTTGTGAACACTTGAGCTGTGTGCTAAACACAGATTGGGTAGAATACTGTTGCAAATACTTATACACTTGAACACAGAGCACTTTTATAAACACTTGGGATGTGTGCTAAACACTGATTGCCCGGAACACTTTTGCTAACACTTGCACAGTATATTATCACAGTATGACATTTGTACACTTTAACACTTCGGCACTAAATTAGTGTTGCATTATGCACTACACATTATTCTTGGTGATCGTGCACATAGTTACACTATTTAAGCAATTAGTATTACACACTTACACTATTTAAGCAATTATTACACAGTTACACTATTTAAGCAATTGTATACAATTTGTACTACACTAATCACTAAGGTTACTGTGGTGCAGATAAAGTTTTGATTACTTGAACACTGAATTAATGTGGCACTCTATACTTAATATATTATTGTCATTCGCTATCTTGTATATTGCACAAAAGTGAAAACACTGTTGAGCACAGTAGATATGCGAACGAAGGTGCAGTGAAGATAAATGTTAATTAAGTGGTACCGATAATCACAAATAATTAATTAATTTGAATAACTAAAGTTAGATCATTACTTTCACAAATGCCAGTAGTTAATACATTGTGATTGATAACGTTATCAGAATGCAAGAAAAATACAGCAATTATACTTGAGTACAGATAATAGGAGAACTGAGATACATAGCAAATTGGAGTAAATTTGGTAGAACCGATAAGTACAGATAATTAATTAATTTATTTAAGCGAAAACCTAATAGTCCGGTTTCTCTAGAAGTCTGTATACTATTCGTCACTTAAGGATGACCAGTAAATTTAATGTAGTTAAATAGCAGATATTTGCGGTAATTGGGAGACGAGATAATTAATTATTGCTGCTAATTAAAAAATTAAAGAACGAAAGGCCTACCTTGGCCGTTATGTTTCTTCTGTTTTCATCTGTTGCTTGCACTGCAGGTAATCCAATGTAATCCGATTGAGAAAACACAGAAATTATAGGTAAACACACTCACACTGCACTGTATAATATCGCAAAAATTGAAGAATTTCTTTCTTAAGTCCCGAAAATTGCTGAAGAAATTAGTAAATTCAGAAGTTATTGACGGATTTTCTCCAAATTTTGAAACTTCCACTTCCTGGGGCTTGAGTTGAAGAATGCCGTTTATTCCAGAATGCTACGCCAATTAGGGGCTTAATTAGCAGGCTGATTAGTATTACTCCAGTACCTCTTGTTTACCTTTGTAGACTGGTTTCAATTCGAGGACGACGGGGGTAGATGACATCCGGTTGACCGTCGGAGTGGGAAAAGGTCAGAGTTCACCAAATTAAAACGTGGTAAATCATATAAAAATTAATTTCGCGACTTCTAATTATCTCACTGCTATGAAATTACCATCAAAATACTCGTGAAGATGTGGAGCGTCTAGCAGTATGAAAATCCAGGCTCATCGATGAAAGGTGACTGCTGGGCGGGCGTTCAAATACGCGTTGTAAGGCTTACTTGGGTATTCGAAGCGTAGATGAAGCAATTAATCTGTAATTAATTAAACGGTGGACCAATCTTGAAAATTTTGCATCGATGTGCTCCTTAAGATGTTGGCTATCCACTGCAGGTGATTTTAGCTAGATGCGCTGCGTATTTCCGCGAATGCTGGGGTAGAAAACGGAGCAACAAAGGAACGACCTTCACACACGCCGTTGGGTTTCGAAGCGTCGATGAAGCAATAATCCTGTAATTAATTAAACGTTGGACCATCTTGAACATTTTGGCCTCATGTGCTCCTTAAGATGTTGGCTACCATTGAGATGCGCTTGCTATACTGATTGATTTCTTGAGTCTATACAAA